CCCTGTTTGAATATATAGGCAATAGGGGGATAGGGCCATGCTTTACTTTTTACGGAAATGTCAAGATTTGCATACATATTGAACTACCTATATCTGTGGATCTATTGATTTTTTTTAAATGCGTTTATTGCTGAAAATAATAATGGTTTTGCTTTTTTGTCACATGCTCAGTCTGAATTGGACAGCTGCTTAACAAGTTATATTAACCCATCTAAAAGGATAGCATTACATTTGAAATACATGTTCATTTGGAAACTCAATAATAAATAATTGTGTGTTTACCTTCAAGTCGTCTTGGTCTCCTTTGCAAATGCCACAAAACCTCTGCATACAATATTTATTGCAGATGTGTTTTTGGTAGTACAGTTTGTTAAAAGCTTTGTATGTGTGTTTGCATTGGTAGCTGTTTGCCTTGACATCAACCTTTTGTGAAAGCAGAGTTAAAAACAATGCATCAGTACTCATGAATCATTCCTTCAAGGCAGGACTTCGGTGTCCTTGTACAAAGAAAATTATGTAAAAGCAGAGGAGCCAAGGCTTGATATGTGTTCTGAGTGTAACACCGCTATCATCTGCTAAGTGCAATTTCTGTCACGTCTGGACTAATAGTTTCATCTCATGTCGTAAATGCTTCTGGTATATTTTCTGTAAACATAATGCCTCTTTTCAGGGAATTAAAGGAGAACTATGAGCTGAGTGCTTTTCACTCGCCTCATAGTTCTAGCCGACCTGTGACAATGAGACTGTCACAGGTCGGCTCAGTAGATCGAGAGGTGAGCGAACACATACCGCAGTATATCGCAGCTGCTCGCGGTATACTGCGGTGTCTCAGTATCCCACGAGCTACAGCTCGCGGTATACTGAGCCTAGGGTGACGGGAGGAAGCTAGTTTGTGTCCTCCCAATAGCCTAAGGAGAACTATGGGGAAAAGCCTTAACCCCATAGTTCTCCTTTTAAAGGACATACACATATGGACATACCCCAAAATGTGTAATACCACACATTTTATTGATTTTATAAACAAGTTCAGGACAAGACTTCTACCATTTAGAGTACTGTAACTTTTTAATTTTAGAGATGTAAATTATGCCCCACATTGCTGTTCACTTTTGTAGGCTGTCCTAAAGTTTAGAGCTTTTTTTCCCTTTTGGATGTAACCATATGGACACAAAGATAAAAAGCATCTATGTAAATGTTATTGTAAAGTTAAGAAGTACTCCAGGCATTTTTTTAAATTAACCCTTTAGGGCTAAGTGCTAGTTTGTGTGTAGGTGCTAAAATAAAAAATATATCTACTCACCCGAAGCTCTGAGCCTGCCAGATGTCACAGCGCTCCCTCCAGCCTGTCTCCCCCCTCACTGCAGCATTGGAATCTTCTTCAAGGTCCTCCTGTCTTTACCCTTTGTATAGACGTTGGTGATTTACGGGACCGTGGATCGCTGCAGAGGAGGAGGAGAGACGTTGGACGGACTGGTGTAAGAAGAAGCCAGCTTGGAGCTTCTGGGGAGTCTAACTTTTTTTTTTAACCTAGAGACAAATGAGCACTTAACCAGTGCAGTGCAGAGGGTAGCCCCACTATAATGGTTAATACAAACATTGCCTGTTCTCCTTCAAGATATGAAATAGGGACTAGTACAACACTGCTGTTTTGCAATCACTGGTGAGTGACATTGTGCAACTGTGAAAGTTTCACATGCTTGCGGTAGGTGTAAATGTCATCCAGAAGATCCAGTGTACAGGCAGTCCCCGGGTTATGAACAAGATAGGGACTGTAGGTTTGTTCTTAAGTTGAATTTGTATGTAAGTTGGAACAGGTAAGTTGAATTTGTATGTAAGTTGGAACCGGTAAGTTGAATTTGTATGTAAGTTGGAACAGGTAATTTTTTTAAGTGTAACTCCAGCCCCCAAAAATGTATTTTTTTTTTGGTTTGGATAGCATAGGGAAAGCTTAACCCCCCTGTAACGTTTGTTTTGCTGTGTGTGCCCCTGTTCAGAAGATTTCACCTCACTTTCTGTCCCTGTGACAATTGGATTTTGAAAATTTTGGGATGTCGTGGAAACAAGGATTGGTGATAAAGCTTCAGTGGAGACACCTTTTTCCCATGATCACTCTTACAGGAGTGAATTTCCTTTGCTAGGGGTAGATTTCCTTTCACTTCCTGTTGTCTCAAGGACAGGAAGTGAGATTAAATATTTCTAATGAGGATACAGAAAGGAAGAAAAAACCTCAGTGACCCAGAAAAAGAGGTGGGCACCAGAGGGGAAGACGTCTAACAAGAGCCAACTTCCTATAATGTACGTACAGTATTACGAACCAGACTCAAAAAGGCGGGCACTCCTCTTCAGCATTACAACTACCCCTGCCGTACAGTAATGTATGCAATGCAACTCGGGGACTGCCTGTATTCATTGGGACAAGAGGGATATTAATGATAGGCGGACGGCGGATGCTTCTCGGCGGGTGGACGTACATTTACGTGGGTGTTTTTTTTCTGCTTGTGCCCCCGCGAGCAGAATCCCGCCGGGAATGTGAACAGCCGTTACCGCTTGTATGAGGCTACACACTGCCGCCCCCCCCCCTCTGCTGCCGGTTATTTCCGGGCACCGCTGTCCTGGGATCGAGAACACCGCCACAGCGGCTCTCTGTACAGAGAAGGAGGAGAGATCAGCATTCCCCCACCGCTGATCTTTCCTCCTCCTCTCTCTCTAGAGGTGGAAGCAATGTCTATTATCAATTCTGCCTTTAGCTGTCATCTCTCTAGCTGCTATAACCATAGAAGAAGCAGGTGAAGCAGATCTCTGATCTAAAATCATAGTACCCTGTGAGCGATGTTCACTTTCCTTAATTGCACTTTTGAAATGTAAGGTCAGGTATGGCTTATTTTGTAACTGTAGAAAGGCACATGATGTGCTGTAACCCAAGACCGCCAATTCCATTAAGCATTTTTAGAGCACTCCTATAATAAAGCTGGGTTGTAGCATTAAAGTAATGCAAATTGTATTAGTAACTTAAGGATTCCTTATTTATTTGTTTCCTCATGTCTTGACACCTGTGAGTTTATTGCAATGCCTTCTCACGTGTGATGTGAGCCCATTCCAATGCTTTCTTACAGGTGGCATTGTTCTAAATGATGATGACGGGTGATTGCTTTATTTCTCTTTTTATTTTTTTTTGTGTGTGACACCCTGAAGTTCTTTTCTCTCTGTATATTCTTTTGTCATAGTTTTAAAACATTTGAAAGTTTGGTACATCTAATTCCCTTTCCCTGAACAAACTGGTAGTATAATAACTGCATTGTATAATAGATTGGGTCATTATACAGTTTTCCATCCTGGCATCTTGGTATATAACTTTATGTTGACTGGTTCAACAGTTTTTTCTTGTTTGGACTGTATTGTCAAATTAGTTGCTGTAGGAGTTTGATTTTGCAAAGGGCCAAGCCAAGCCCGCACTGAAACAGGGTGATGGAGCACCCATTGGTTCACTAGACCCAACCTTGTGAGCAATAATTTGCAACAAATATTTATCTTCTCCATCTGATGCATGAACAGTGAGAATACCAAATGTCTAGAGGTTTGCAAGGGCACAAAAACTTTCATGCCAACAAGCTTATGAATACTTGTTTTTTTGGAAAAAATAGCCTTCTATTATGGAACCTGTTCCTTCATGACTTCAATAGGATAAATGGGGGACAGAAATGTGCTCTTTGTTAATACAAACTGCCCCATGCTTTACAGAACATTTTTGCTTTCCCCTCAATCAGGTGAGATTTTTAATAAAACAACATTTATTTCTTTTTGATAGCTTGATGAGCATACGTTTTTTTAGTTCAGTCTAACAAACTATGTAACTATGGTGAGGGAGATTTGAGAACTGACTGGATTAGTTTGCTAGACAGGAAGGAGAAGTTTAGATGGGTATGAGTGTGTAATATTTAAAGTGGAAACCCAGGGAAATAACTAAATGCACTTTTAAAAGTCATGTTTCATGTGGTCTTGTCTAATAAAAGATTTTCAGTTCTTGTCAGGAAGTCCTATTATCCAGACTCCTCCATCATACTGCATTGACAGGCGGATAATGCATCTGTTTCCTGGTTTAGCAATGCAGCTTTCTATGTCATCTCTCCCCATTCAGCCTATTCATTGGACAAACATCATATTTGTTCAGTGTGTAGGAAGCTGTTAGGGTGAACTAAAAATTACTAATGCTGCATTAACAGCCAAGCGTGAGCATAGCCAGACGATTTACAGGCTTTTTTTTCTTTTTTTCTGCGATTCTGCATTTTTCTAGCAAATTTATGCACTACTTTTAGTAGTAGAGAAGCAGAATCAAGTGTTTTTGGCACCATAAACTTTTTGAATGGGAGCACTGGGAAAACACTCGTAAACACGTTTTCAGGCGTTTCCATTAAAAGAGAACTAAAACCAAACCCTTCAGGTCAAAGGAGTACATTTACTAATGTACTCCTGTGAACCAAAATCTGCATTTTGCAGGCTACACCTACAATGTCACACGCCGCCTCCCAATGCTTCTCCTTTAAAGTCTATGGTGCCAAAATGTTTAGCTATGTTCTCTCTCTCTCTCGCTCCTCTCCCCTCCTCTCTTCTCTCTCTCTCTCTCATGCACCGCTACTAGTGTCGGTACCAAAACCGAGTAATGCTCTGATGCATAGCCTTACACTCAAGCTTCTGGTTTCAGGAAGCTGGCTCTATGCTCCCTCGTCGTCCATCGTGACGAGGGAGCATGGAGCCGGTTTCCTGGCCAATCAGGAAGTTGGGCAGTGTGTAATGACTCACCACCTAGCTTCCTGATTGGTTGGAAAGCTGGTCATTCGGGAAGCCGAACGGCATGTCAATTTTGTCTTCGTTATTATGTTCAACGTAATTTAGGGAATAACCTTATCTGGTTGTCTGCAATGTTTTTGACTTCTTATTAATGGTAAAAGATGACCTGTTTGGTGACTTTTTAAAACTGTTTCTGTTCTTTCTTTTTTCCATAGGATAACATGTTGTCACCTGCCTTTCCAGAGCAAATGGCTCTACGTGGGCACAGAAAGAGGAAACATTCACATTGTCAACGTGGAGTCGTTCACGCTCTCAGGCTACGTCATCATGTGGAATAAAGCCATTGAACTGTGAGTGTTACGTAGCCAGTGACATTAATGAGAACATTTGTGCCAGTGCTGCATGAAGGTGCCCTAAGCAGCCTTCTAGAAAGGAGGGCACAAAGCCAAGTTAAAGATGCATAAATTCCTTCTAATTGGTTGCAGAGATTCTGATGCCTCACTAGATTATCAGTTTATAGACGTCAGAGCTAATCACTTTTTGGAGGCCTGAATGCTGGCTGCCGAGAAATCCAAGCAGATAAAATCACTTGGAGCATTTATGTGGCATGACACGGTTTCCAAGCTGGGCTTGTACTCTGTGCCCTTATTCACTTTTTAAAGGCTTAAGTCCAAGCAGATGTAAAATACACACATTTATGCTGCTCTGCTTTTGTTTTTACATTATTCTTATTAATAAAAGGATCAGTGTACTTGTACTTGTACAAGTACTTAAATTTGACCTGGTATCAGCCTCTTGCAATCTCCTGTACAACAGCATTCAGACTGGGAAGGGCAAAGTAGCACAAGTAGTCAGTCAGTTGTGCTGCAGTGTACGGAGCATGTTGATAGGAGAAAGCAAAATGGCAGAGAGATAAGCTCATCAGTGTGCTGTTTCTCCTTTCAGCGTTCAGTAATATGATGGGGTTTGGGAGAAGACCCATAAGTGTTACTGAAGTGCAGAAAATAAAAATCAGGTCTTATGCTCTGCTAGGCAGGGCTTTGTAAATCTCAAGAGTAGATGGAAAGAGACACAAATCCATGTGCAGGTAAAACAGCTCTCCTATAAGTATTCCATCTGTGTGTTTAGCTGTGTGCCTTCAGTTTAGCTTTAAGCTTTTGACAGCTGCATGATTTTAATAAAACTGCTGTTGGGTACAGTCCTAGAATTTATATGATCTCCGAATTAGGCTGCTAATAATAGACAAGGATTGTATGTGCCAATCATGTGGGCCAGAGTTTACTGCACATACCAATGTGTAGGTCACAAAAGAGAAAAGTTACTACGAATTAAGAGTATAATAATAATTACAATAATTTATTATTATACAGAATTTATATAGCGCCAACAGTTTCTGCAGCGCTTTACAATATAAGGAAGACATAGCAATACAATTCAAGACAAGATGCTAAGGAGGGCCCTGCTTGTGAGAGCTTACAATCTAAAAGGGAAGGGCCAGTGATACATGAGGAGGTAGTTGTGTGGAGATGAATTGTTTGACAATGTGATGGTTCAGGTTTGGTTGAGGTGGGATAGGCTTCCCTGAAGACATGAGTCTTTAGGGATCGCCTAAAGGCAGTCAGGGTGGGAGATTACGGACAGGTTGGGGTAAAGAGTTCCAGAGGATGGAAGAGACTCTAGAGAAATCCTGGAGGCGAGTCTGGGAGGAGTTGACGAGGGAGCTGGAAAGCAGGAGGTCTTGGGAGGAGCGGAGGGGGTGGTTAGGGTGATATTTTGAGACAAGGTTTGAGATATAGCCAGGGGCAGATTTGTTGATGGCTTTGTAAGTGATTTGTTAATATTTTGAATTTTATCCTTTTGGGTGAGTGGAAGACAGAGGGGCGTTGCCGACACTGAGCAGTTGGTCAGTTGGATAAGTCTAGCAGCTGCATTCATGATAGACTGAAGGGGGGATAGCCTGTGTAGAGGTAGACCAATGAGGAGGGAGTTGCAATAGTCAAGACAAGAGATAACAAGGGAGTGGATGAGCAGGTTTGTGGTTTCATTGGTGAGGAAGGGGGCATATTCTGGAGATGTTATGAAGGTGAAGGCGGCAGGATTTGGATAGTGATTGGATGTGGGGAAGAAAGGTGAGGTCCGAGTCAAAGTTGACACCTAGCACCTTGGCATGAGGGGAGGAATTCACATGGGAACACAAAAAGGACCGGTAAAGTTACTCTAATAAAGATTATTTCTAACAGAGTATTTAAAAAGAACTGCTAATAATAATAATAATAATATAGTTTAATAATAAAAAAAAGTGCAAATCCTGCAGGATTCATCTTTTTATTCTATCAAGCACCCTAAATGAGTCTCCTCCCAGGCTGAAGCATCTTCATGTATGTAAGGGCAAAATTATTATTTATTTTTTTGGGATAGAGTAGGGAAAGGTTAGGCCCTTTATCAGGTTTTTAATGCTGTCCATTTCCTCACAGAGGAAATTCGCCCCTCCTTTTTTTTCCTGGTGACCATTGCCACTGAGACAGAAAGTGATTTGGAAATCTCAGCATTTTGAGTTGTCATGAGAGCAGGAGATGAGGCAGAATTCTCCAATTGTTCTTAATGGAAATTCAATATTTAATGTTTAAGTTATAAATTACTCCTTGGCCGTCCATGGACAATTATCTGGAAGGGCCATCAATCCGGTATAAGGGTTTGCCACCCTCAAAACAACAACAACAATAATAATACTTGAAATACTTGATGAGAGAAAAAACAAACAAAAAAAACCCTGCAGATTATTTATGCATCATTTAGCTGTAGATCCTCAAATCATCTCTGAATTCATGATGACATTGTCCTTCCTTCTAGAGGGTGGCTTCTTTTGTTCCCGATGGTCCATCTGTGTATTGTAAAGTAGACACCGATCCAAGCTTACTCCCGTGATAGACTATACCTTCAGTACAAATTAGTAAACTAAATGTGAGATTTTAGTCCATCACAGGAGCAAGCTTGGAGCTGTGGCTACTTTACAACACACACAGGGTACTAAAAGTAGTCACCCTCCAGTAGGAAGGACAGTGTCAGTACGAATTCAAAGATGATTTGAGGATCTACAGCTGAGTGATACAGAAATAAGATACATTTTTGTTAATAGTTAGGGTCCTTCAAAGCATTTTTAAAGGGTTCTGAGTTTAGTGTCTAGTGAGAGCAAACACTTGAAGTAATATATCAACCACTCTTCAGACCCTTTGGAATTATCTGAGTTTCTGCAGGAAGAGTCCCTAAATTGTGGTCTGATCTTTAAGTAAGCCACAATAATAGATCAACACATTCTCTCTGAATATTGCTTATATATTTGAGGATGGTACTAATACACAATTTCTAATGGACCACAATGGTTTACCATTCCAGAAACAGACAAAAGGTGAATATTTGGACTAATGCCAATGCTGTAGGTAGACTGCTCTGAAAAGCGACCTCGCAAACAGAGTATATCAGGGGTGTGGAATACCTATCGCCCGACGCCCGGGACATGCAGTTTCGGGCGCCGGGCGAGCAGTTTTTTTGTGCACTTAGCCCCGCTCCGGACAAGCAGAGCCAAGTGTACAGTGTGGAGCCGCCGCTCGTTTTCAAGTGATCTGATCATTTATCAGATCACTTGAATGAAATGAGAAGCGGCGATTCTGTCCACACAGCCGCCACTCCTCTGGCGGACCCGAGACCACGGAACATGAGCTCACCATAGACACCATAAACATCCGTTTTTCGTCTGCTCTGTGTTATCACTGAGACCGTGGCGCTGTTATCACAGCGCCCCCTGTCTCAGCTGTCAGGAACTACACAGAAGATATGTTCTGTGTTGGAGGGCAGGTTCCATAAAGAGAACCTGTCCCCTCCAAACTATCACTTAGAGGATTTTAAATCCCTATGTGATAGGAATCAAATTAGGTGGGGGGGAAAAAAAGTAAAAAATTAAAAAATTATATTAAAAAAAAGTGACAATTTAAAAAGTAAAATAAAAAAAATGAAAACCAACCCCGCCATCTGCATGCAAAGTGCTGCCGCCATTTCACTGTGCCATATTGTGGTAGCGAGGCAGCAGAACTCTCTCACGCACAATGTGCATTAAAGGACAAGTTCACTTTCCCAGGTAATATGGGAAAATGGAATTACCCGATCAAATCTGGCCCCCGTCTCAAAAGCACCCCCCTCATAGTTCTCCTTTTAGGCTGGGTTCCCACCTAGGCGTTCGAAATATGCGTGTATGACGCGCGTTTTGGGGTGCATGTTTTAACCGCGATTTGTAGCCCACAAAACGCGCGTCAAACGCGCGTTTCCGAGGGCTATCCAGCTGTATCCTAATGGATACGCGCGAAATACGCCCCAAAGAAGCTCCTGTACTTCTTTGGGCGTAGGATGTTTTTCAGCACGTTCCAACACGCTGAAATACGCCCAGGTGGGAACCATGCCCATAGGAAATAATGGGATTTCACTTGCTGGGTGTTTTACAGCGCGTCGATCAGCGCTGTAAAATGCCCAGTTGTGAACCCAGGCCTTAATGGCTCTAAAATTATTGCTCTCACTCCAACGTTTTCGGCGATATGCAACATGTGCGGCACGTAGGCGCACCTGACGCATATATGCGTGTGTATGTGGGGGGCGGGGACTTAAATTTTTTTTTAATAAATGTTATGCTTCTTTATTTGAATCTTTCATTTTTGTATTACTTTTTTTTTTTTTACACTCAGAAGCCCCCTATGGGATAGCCAATTTACATGACAGGTCCTCTTTATGGAGACATCAGGGGTCTCCAAGACCCCTAATGTCACCTAGGGACCTCCAGAGAAGCTGATGAAGCACAGATCGGCTTCATCAGCTTCTCTAGTTGGAGAATGACACTGAATGCAGGAAGTGATGTAATAGAGGAGGAGAGATCAAAGGGAGTTCATGTACTGAAAGCGAAAGATCAGTGGCATGCACTTCAACATGGTGTCCAGTGGGGACGGTGCCTCCTTTGCAACGCGCACCATCCAAGGGCAGTGCCCTCTTCTATACTACGGACAGGGCCACAGCTGCATGCGCCGCTAGGTGTGGGGCACCACATGTATACTACATAGACACGGCTGTGCCTGCTGGGCACCAAGACCCTCTATACTGAGCTAACTGCTGTGCCAACTAGGAAATTACTTCCCCCTACCCTATACCATCCTCACTACTGTGCCAAACAAGGACAGTACCCCTCTACAGATAGTAAACACTCCAATATCAGATACCCTCCCCCCCTGTACAGTACTAGCTCTGGCCCCCTCCCCATACACAGAATACACTGGGCTCCACTGTCCCCCTATACACACAGTGCCCTCCCCTT